AAGCAAAACAGATAGGCTGCCGCCTGCATGCACCCTAATGGGGACAGAGCCAAAACTCAGGCATGTGCCCTGACAAGAAATTGAACCAGCAACTTCTGGTACAGGGCTAGCTCCCTTTTAAAGTTTTCCTTTGCCATCCCAAATAGAGACAATCTTATCTGTCTGAACATTTACAGAAATCACTGTTTATACTACATTTGTGAAGCTTATATACCATATTGTATAATTATTTTAATTCATGTGTTGTTTAATCTGATTGTAAGATCCTAGAAGACATATTCATCTCTATCGCCCCTTAGAGTGAATTGTTCTGATGTTTAATACTTTTTTAAAAAAAATATATTTTATTGATTTTTTACAGAGAGGAAGGGAGAGAGATAGAGAGCTAGAAACATCGATGAGAGAGAGACATCGATCAGCTGCCTCCTGCACATCTCCCACTGGGGATGTGCCCGCAACCCAGGCACATGCCCCTGACCGGAATCGAACCTGGGACCTTTCAGTCCGCAGGCCGACGCTCTATCCACTGAGCCAAACCGGTTTCCGCGATGTTTAATACTTTTTTATTGAACCAGCTGTTTTTCGAAAGTTATAATCACAAGAAGTTTGACATATCAAATATTGATATAAGCATATTTTCTTGGGGAGGGCATAGAAAATAATTTAAGTAAACTAATCAGGCAATGAGGTTTCTTAGGAATCTTAGATGCTAAATTAGTGAATTTAGGAGTATAAGGTGAACCAGAACTCTCACTTTTCCAAATCCTACTAGATAACCATATGTGTAATGTGAAGTGTACAAAAGGAATGGATATTTAGAAAAAGAATGGAAGAAAAAATTGATATTTTTGAAGAAGAGCTATGACAATGACATGACAAAATTTGGGTAGCTATTCTGTGAAGGCCATTTGCTAGAAGCCTCTAAATTGCCATTTTTAGCTTGGACCCTCCTTCTTAACCAATAGCTACGTATATACTTATATATTTGCAGTTTAGTTTTAATAAAATAAAATTAAAGGAATACACACAACCAGACGAGCTGGCTGTGTTAGCTCTTAAACCTGTCTGTCAGTGATACTTGTTATTGTTAAGTATATGATTCAATTAAATATTACATTAAAAAAGACGAAAAGTGAGTAAAAATGAGTTGTTTCTATGAAAACCAACTGGATACTTTGGAAAGTTCAATAAAAGAATTGCTAAAACCAGGCCAGTGTGGCTCAGTGGTTGAGTATCAACCTATGAACCAAGAGGTCGCTGGTTTGATTCCCCATCAGGGCACATGCCAGGGTTGCAGTCTCGATCCCCAGTGAGGGGCATGCAGGAGGCAGCCAATCTATGTTTCCCTCTCATAGATGTTACTATCTCTCTCTAAAAATCAATAAAAACATTTTTTTTTAAAAAAAAGAGTTGCTAAAAATGCTGTTAACTATACATAAATCAATTAGGAAAGACTGGGGAAAGTCATAAAAATCTCTAAGGATTATACAACTACATTGCTCACAAGTGTCTAGTTTAATCCTTTTTTAAAAGGTATTAAGTGAAAATTGTCCTTAAAGAAGCCAAGATTATAGGTATGATTTATGCAAGAAAGAGGACTCCTATTTAAAAATAAATAATGGCCCTATATCATAGGAGTGATTAATAAATTTAAAGTACAAGCTTACAATGTTTAAAATTGTGTGTATAATTTTTTATACTTATGGCTCTCTTTTGACAATGTACCAATTAGCAACGCAAACTGCTTCAGGTAAAGAGGGTTTCTTTTAAATTTCATAAATAACTTATTTAAGATCTCATAGAAGTGTCACATAAAAACGACAATGTTGTAGATAAGACACATGTATTCACATTACACAATTTTATGCAAGAGAAATTAATACAAAGGTCACAGCAGACTGGAAAAAAAAATCAGACAAAAATCTAATCCTAACAGCAACTATTCAGTATTGCTTTGCTGATGCTTATGAAAACATAAGCTATGTTTCTATATCTAAAATATTTTGACAATTATAATTTGTATCAGAGTCTACTATATTATATTGCTAGTGAACATGAGAAAAACTAATCTTATGCTCTCAAAGCAGAAATAAAATATCTAGTATTTGCTTACACAAAGAAAAATTGTCTCATCTTTTCTTCTTGGAATGCATTTATGAGGAAGAAATAATTAGACCAAAATTGTAAAAATTAGGTACAAAGGTTTTGAAAACCAATCGCTTTGCATCTCAAAACTGAAAGGCAACAGGTATCACCAAGTGAAAACTGTAAAAGTCAAACTGATCTAACAATTTAAGAAAACAAAGTTTCTACCAGAAACACCAATCAGACAGGATATATGCACCCCTATGTTCATAGCAGCACAATTCACCATAGCTAAGATCTGGAAACAGCCTAAGTGCCCATCAGTAGATGAATGGATTAGAAAACTGTGGTACATCTACATGATGGAATACTATGCTGCTGTAAAAAAGAAGGAACTCTTACCATTTGCAATGGCATGGATGGAACTGGAGAGCATTATGCTAAGTGAAATAAGCCAGTCAATGAAGGAAAAATACCACATGATCTCACTCATTCATGGATAACAAAGACCATTATAAACTTATGAACAATAATAGATACAGAGGCAGAGCTGCCTCAAACAGATTGTCAAACTGCAGTGGGAAGGCCGGGGAGGGTTGGGGGGCAGGAGAGAGCGGGGTAAGAGATCAACCAAAGGACTTGTATGCATGCATATAAGCATAACCAATGGACATAAGACACTGGGGGGGCGGGTAGGGGAGGCCAGGGGATTGTCAAGGGCGAGGGGAAAAAAAGGACACATATGTAATAACCTTTGTAAAACTTTAAGCAAAAAAAAAAAGAAAGAAAAAGAAAACAGAGTTTCTAAAGAAACGACAGCATTTTTGTAAAATTCCTTATTTCTTGTAAGTTTCCTACAAATTTATGATGAGGCAAAACACTTAATATGTCAGGTCTAGATACCACAGACCGGTAATTTAAAATAACAATTTGTAAATCTAAACCATCTTAACATATTGGTTCTATTTTTGCAAATGACCCTAAATGTTAACCAGAAATACGTTAATTTTACCAAATAAACTTTGTTTCAAATGACTTAAATTAGAATTACAAAGAAGTGTTTCAGATCGACATTTTATGTGATATTCTATATATAATGTCATCTGACTATACTTTTAAATTCATCAACACTTTGGTTTGTCTACTGCACAGATGCTAAAGCTGGCAAAAAATACTAACAAAAAACCTCCAACATAAGAAAATACGTCTTAAAATATTTTTCTGTCACATCTTCTCACAAAAAAAAACCCCCAGCATGACAAATATACCTTCCCTCTTATTAGCTGTTACATATATGCCATACAAGGATTGAGGATTTTATTAAAATAAACAACATAATATGCTAAACAACTTAAAAACAAAAGGTTTTACATTTACCAAAATACTTCAATTTCCTCTACTAACTGTAACCAAAATATATGCTTTAATAAGCAATAATTATTAAGGTAAACTATTTTGATAGAAAACTGGTAAATAATTCCTCAAAAGCTAGGAACAAACATATTAGTGATCTTTAGTTCATTTCCCTTCAAATACAAAATTTTTGTTATGAGAGGATAAAGGAGAATAAAATGCAGAAGTTGGAGGCATTCATTGCCTTAAACAATTAGGAAAAGCAGTTCTGATATATGAAACATAATGTGGGTAAATCTGGGTAAAAATTATCTGGCTCTCTAGATTTATCTAAATATTTATTTTCTGAAATGAAAAATTTCCTTTTAAAAATTACACCCTCTAGCCGAAACCGGTTTGGCTCAGTGGATAGAGCGTCGGCCTGCGGGCTGAGGGGTCCCGGGTTCGATTCCGGTCAAGGGCATGTACCTGGGTTGCGGGCACATCCCCAGTGGAAATGTGCAGGAGGCGGCTGATCGATGTTTCTCTCCCATCGATGTTTCTAACTATCTCTCTCCCTTCCTCTCTGTAAAAAAATCAATAAAATATATTTAAAAAAAAATTACACCCTCTAAATTTGTACACCAAAATTATTATACATACTTTCAAATATTATATTTATGTTTTGGGAATTTTCCAACCAGATACAATAATTGTACTTAGCAAAGTAATAATTTAACAAAATATGCTTTTGTATGTTAACAAAAAATAAAAATTGGCATATAAATATAACATGTACCCACATTCTATGATTGATCAAGACTAGCATAGAAACTTTGATTATCTTCACTTATGACAGAATATCTTCACTCCAAAATTACAAATAAAATGGAAAAATACATTTTTGCATAATTAGATGCTCCTGTTAACTTTTTCTTATACTATATACTTAACTGCTACTACAATAATGTGTGACAAGCGATTTGAGCCCTGTTCTTTTTTACTGACTATGCCTTAAAGATAACAGCAGATTAAATTTTTGTTGCTTTTGTGTTTGTTCTATAGATAGCATTTCCGTCCCATTCTTCCAGTGTTTTGGAATTCTAAGGTGTCCTAAAAGCAATGTAAGAGTTATAAGAGTAGATAACTAAATTATTTTAGAACCATTCTAAATTAGGTATACAAAAATACTATTCAATTCAATCAACATTAGACGCATCCACTGTACATCAGCATTCAGTGAGCAAATGCGAGCATAAATTATTTCATGAATAATTAAAATGAAAGCATCTAATATTATATGAAAGAGGTACATTTTACCTGGATTAGATGAGGCAATGCTTTTAGTGTAAGACAAAACCAAATCCCCAGCTTGCATGGAAGCAAATCATGCCATTGTGGTTTCATCAGTAATCTAAAGGGAAAACAAAGGCAAAGAAGCAAAATATAAACAGAAAGTTGGGAGACAAAATATTTTTATAAAGATCATAATTTCTGTTTTGAATGACTTTCAACAAAAAAGAAATTTTCAATGAAATATTTATGTTGGTTATCATTTATTCTGACTTATTCTATCACGAAATACAGTAGTTACAATAAATGCAGTATGTAAAGCAAGTAAGAGAAAGCTAAGATTTTGGAAAAGGAGACTCCTAATCAAGTTATAAAGATAAAGAAACAGAAGATCTCTTTCCAACCTAGACTTTCATCAGTTCTGCAAAATGAATTCTTAAACCTTATGATTACTTCAGCTATAAAAGACTAAACATCATCAGAGTGTTCCCCAGTGCTGACAAGCATATATGAAGACTGTAGCATAAACAAACCAATAGATAAAAATTAATGTCATTTGCAGTTCACTGAAGCATTACTCACTGATGTCATCAGAACAGAAGACATGCAGAATAGTCTCTGATCTCCATCTCACATTGATCCATTTCTGTCCTGCTGTGTGAACTATTTAAACCCTTTATTTCTTTCTATGAATCGATAGAAGAAATGGTAGTATCTTTCAGAGTATACTGCATATCACTGCCTCTATACATATTGTCACTCCTGAACTAAACACTAAATGGTAGATTCGTCTAGTAATACTGTTTCTAAAGTTCAGTCTACAAATTTTAAACTATAAAAACTTGGAGGTTTAATTAGTTAAATATATATTAACACATCACAAAGGGAAAAAACTTGTAGCACTTCTGCTTAAGATCAGAACTTGTCTCATAAACTAATATGGCACATTATTAGTCTTTTAAAAATCCTACTACAGATGTAAATGTTAGCATATCTGAAATGGGTATACATTTGAAACAGGATCACATTAAAGAAATATTTTAAAAGTTTCAAATTATAAAATATTATTATATGGTCCTACCTTTCATTTTTTTCTGAAGCACCAAGTTTCGATAAATCCACACTCTTGCCACCTGTCTTTTTTTTCTTTTCTCTTTTTTTTCTACTAAGCAGTTCATCCTTAATGTGGAAAGAATTATAGTTACAGGTTATCATTAACATGTACTTTTCAAATGTTATCAAGAGTCTACTGTGAAGGGTAAACATTATAAGGGAACATTTATGCAAATGTATGTAGGGTCCAACATGATTAAGTAAAATCATCAATCTTTAACAATAACTGTTGTCATAGTATCCAGTCCTTAAACACACATGAAGTTTAACACTGTCAGTCATGTCTATCTCCATAGCAATCAAAGTTTTCTAAGCAGAGAAAGCATTCAACTTTTTCTCGTTCATCAACTTTAGTAATGTTACTTCAAAAAGAATGAGCAAACAGATGCTAAATTTGATAAATGTTTATTTTCAGCATATAGATATCCACAGCAGAATAAACTATGTAGTAAAATTTATTAGACTAAGAAAAATGTAATATCTTTTAAACAACTGATCTATGAAATCATGAAATTATACTAATTTCAAGTCTTAGTTAAAAACTTTTAAAGTAAACATTGTTTATATGAGAGCCTATGACACAAAATTTCTAAAATCATTTTTACATGAAAAATATTTTTATCTGGAAGGTGATCATTAAGAAAAATGGCTCTAGTTTCTACCTTCCAATTTTCAGTTAGATATTGGGATCTTCACAAAATTTTATAACAAACTCAAAGGCACATTTTTAAAAAGGATATTTTCTTCTTATAACCTAGGCTATTCTTGACTTAGAAACATATCAAACACTAACTACTGAGCACAAAACTATTAAAATGAGATTTATAAAAACATTGAACTTTTTATCAGATGAAAAACAAATGTTTGAAATTCCATATAAAATTAAGGAGGCTAGGATCATTTGATTTATTACCAATACTTACCAGTTGTTTTTCCAGGTAGATTGACCACACCACAGCATAATGACCCACTGTGAGGATAATGAACAAAAGTAATGCCAGCTCAGCATTGCTCATTTTTCTCACCCGCCTGTAGTAGAATACAGGCTGCCGCCAATCTGGAAGTCCATTGATCAGAATATCATCATACCTACAATAGCAAATATAACAGTTTTTCAAGGAAAGTTTGAAGTAAAAAAAATTTATTTGTATCCATATTTAAAAAGAGAAAAAAGAAAATAATTTCTCTAAAATAGATAACATTTATGTAAATTATCAGCATTATAACAGCCTATAAATTGAAAACACTGCGTGTAGGTCCAGTCACAGACAAACTTCAAAAGGGTACATACTAATATACTGTGGATACCAGATCTTGTATTTTTATGAGACACCAATGATGCGACTTCTGGAATGCCATCTAAACTAAAGGTGCCATATAGTCTATCTCTATCACAGTCTGCTGTAAAGGCCCCACCATGAAGTCAGCAACAAAAGGAAGGATCTCAATGGGAGTGGGGGTTGGGGGGGTGAAATCAAGATAAGAGCTCTATTTGTTACCATGAATTATACATTAATTGAATCAAATTCAGGGTAAATTTTCTAGTCAATGCTTTTTTCCTCCACCTCTGTACTATGTCAAGGTTGAAATTATATATATATATAATTTTATCAAAACTTCTTAATAATGTAAAAGCCTATAAAATGAGCCTCTTTTAATTTTGTATTACTTACATTATGTTAGAGAATTTAAAAAATGCCAAATTAGAGATGTGTAAACAACCTATGCTTATGTCAGATTTCTAAATAAAACTGTTTATTTGCAAACATTTAAGTGGCAATTTTCTCACTATTGGCTTTGCTGGAGGGGAGATTATAAATAAAAGCTTTCCTAAAAATGCATTTAAATAAGCTTTCTTTAGAATAAAACTTCAGTTAAATTTAAATATACCTGTCAGACAGTTATTGTGGCAAATGTTTTTAAGGTTAAAAATCAGAAGTAGCACTTAGGATCGTAAAACTCAAAATGGTCACAAACACTGTTCGTTCAAACACACAACCTGTTAATCTTAGTGGAACACAACTCATTAAATATTCTAATCACACTATTTCCAGAATTAAATCTTCACTGAAAGGCCTAATTTGGTGCAACACATTGACCAAAATATTTTAATTAAAAATATTCTGAGTTAGTTGCAGGCCTAATTACAGGAATAGAAATAGGGCCTATATTGTCAGGCAGGTCAGTAGCACTCAGTAGTAGGTTTTTCTCAAGTAAATTGACCGATCTAAGAATAATAGCGCAGCTGCTAAACTGCCAGTCTTGACATGTAAATCAATTTAAATGCAACAACTGCAGTAGCTACTTTTATAGTTATTAAATTGATACCTTGGAAATATGCTTATAAAATAAAGCAGAGGATTTATTACAGGCAACTTCTTTTTTTCTGCAGAAAAATAGTGATTATAAATTCAAAATATATTTTATTAGCAAATCTAGAAAACCTGATTTAGATCAACTTAAATTATTAATAACAATAGACATCATAATAACTAATGTTTAGAGCAAAGGAAATTAATTAGTACTGAATTCTTAAAAGGCAAATTGTGTACAAGAGTCTACAAATTAAAATGTTGTGTAGTGGCTGGACCCGAAAAATTTCAATATTTAAATATTCTCCTTTTTCAATATTATAGCAATTCTTGAACACGAATAGAAAAACAATAATATGAGTTCATCAAAAGCTATCATTCCTTTCCTCAAAAATTTATATTTAAGTCTATCTTTGTAAAAATGGACTCATTTTAAATTACAAATGGATTGGTAAAAAGGTTTCAAGTGCTATAATGCAAGATGACAACAATTGAATGAAATCCAATGAATGTTAAGTCTTGAATTTATTCTAAATCTATAATGCACTTCAGATTTGTTGAGGGGAACAAAAGGTGACTATAAAAATCATTATTTTCAACTAACCGCTCCCATGAAATAACTTCATGTAAAAAGTGTGGTTATTAATAAAGAGCAGCTAAGAAAGTAGCAACCATTACCTAAGAGCATTACTAAGTATTAAATTTGATCTGTACTGAAAGAAAACACAGCAGGACTCACAGTTATGAATTTTATATCAAATATTTTATCACTACCATTGATGAAATACATCTCTCTTAACAGCGACTATTTTCTATCCCACATATAAACTGTACTCAGTGTACAGCCCAATTTAAGACAGCAAAACCTCTCTTGCACTGAACACATTTAACAGAACTGGATATTTACTAGGCTATTTCTGCTACTCTAAACAACAGTCTCTAAGTATTAAGCTTAGAATCAATGCTCTATTGATTTTATTATCAATGAACATTATGGATCACAGGCCTGGCCATTTTAAGGAAAGGTAGTTTCCATTATAGTCTGTTTTTTAGAATATATGCTGTTAAAAGATAAATCACTGCTTTTCTGAAATACCGAAAACAAAGATATTTTAAAAAATATACAAACACTATATTCATATGTTATTTAAGAAAAAAATGTGTTGACAACACATAACATTTAAAATATCACTATGGTATGCTTTTCTTTATTTAACACATTAACACTTAAAATGTTCTATATCCCAGCTCATACAAACTGCTCTTAACATTTTGTTAAAAGCAGATTAAGAATGTATACATGCATCAATGTGTTCTAAAAAAAAACAGAAAAGTAAATCTCTATGATGAAAATATAATTAATGCAAAAAACCATATGGAACTATAAAGGCATTATCTTGGAAATTAAAACATTAATTGATCAATTCCATGCATCCAACATATGGTCTAATATACGTTTTCTTTGTTTGATGTTCTTAAAATGTACATGATGGACATAAAATAATGGTTACATAATCATTAGTGAGTCCCATTCTACATTCTGCAATTCTTCACATATATTTAACTTAATATAAACATTGGAAAGCAAGTAAATCTAAAAATATTTAAATTATCAGTAGATAAAAAATTAATGTAAATTTAAAACAGCTTATTTTGAAATATAAAACAGTAACTATGAAACTAAAATAGAAAACGTGTATATTATGAAAACAAATATGTAAATAATTCTATCATTTGCCTAAAATATGAATTTTCTATCATACTAAATTTTTAGCTTCAAACAATAAAGCAACATCACTTACAACACATTTTGAACCTTAGAGTAAAAATCAATTGTACAAAGATCACAAACAGGAAACACATCTAATTTAATTCACCTTACTCTCCTTTATTAAAATTAATAAATAAACACACACACACACACACACACACACACACACACACACACACCTACCCAAAACCATGGTACACAGCACTTTATATATATTGTATATAATAAATGTCTTATATCTTCTAATTGAGGAAAATATTAAAATTTCTTAATTTCAGGTTAATGTTTTCATTATTATTATAAATTAAAAAATTATTTTTCATTGATATCAGAGAGGAAGGTAGAGGGCAAGAGAGATAGGAACATCAATGATGAGAGAGAATCATTGATCAGCTGCCTCCTACACACTCCATACTGGGAATGGAGCCCGCAACCTGGGTATGTGCCCAGATTGGGAATAAAACCGTGACCTCCTGGTTCATTGGTCGAAGCTCATCCACTAAGCCACGCCGAACAGCAGGTTAATGCTTATTTTTATTCAAACACACCTGTAATCAAATTTACAATAACTAGGCAATGGATTTGTAGAAGTTTAGCAGATTAAGGTTGAGATAACTATAGTTTTCATTATTGGATTTGTAAATAAAATATGATTTTATTTAGTAAACTAAAAAACAACACTCAACTTTTACCAATATAGTACCATAAAATAGACAAAAATATTAAAGTTGTACAACTGGGTTAGCAAAAGAATATCGGTTAAAAATTTATAATAGACTTTAAGCAAAAGTAAATATGCTAATATTACCACAGCACATTCTAGTGTATATGTTTCATAAATGATTCGTATCTACTCAGTACTTTATTTCAGCTAATACTCAGGGCTTGTATAGAAATTTATGAACAAACAAAGCTGAGCTGTTATTTCCCCCAATAAGCAAATTACCTAAGGAGTTTAAAAAGGGCTACTATGTAAGGCTTCCTTACACTAACCAGGAAAACATGTTATTTTCACACTATAGCTGATGCCTTTGAGAGAAAAAAAGGCTTATAAGTTTGTTTACAATTGCATCCCTAGGAATCTACCCAAGAGAAATGAAAAACATCCGTTCGCACAAAGACTTACATGTGAATATTCATGGCAGCATTGTGCATCATAGCCAAAAAGTGGAAACAAACTAAATGTCTACCAGTTTGTGAATGGATAAAGAGAAGTGGTAGATGGAATACTATTCAGTAGTAAAAAAGAAATGAACTACTGGTATATGCTACAATATGGATGTATCTCAAGAACATTATGCTAACAGAAAGAAGCCAGGTGTAAAAGACTACATAGTACACGATTTCGTTAATATGAAATGTCCAGAAAATGTCTTTTTGTATAGATACAAAAAGATCAGTGATTGCCTAGGGTAGGGGTCAGAGTGGGGATTGCTTGCAAATGAACTAGAGGAAGTGTTTTGAGGTAATAGAAATGTTCTAAAACTGGATTGTGGTGGTTTGCACAACTCTGTAAATTCACAAAAATCACTGAATTGTATACTTCATGTAAGTGACTTTTATGGTACACAAGTTATATTGAAATAAAGGCTGTTTAAAAATAAAATAAAGTTTGTTTTTTCCTTAAAAAAGTAAAAAGGTTATCCAGTTTGCTACTTTATTTATTTCAATGCTACCCCCTTTTCTACCAAAATTTAAATAATGCACCTGATTTCAGTGAAACACAATTATGTAAGGAAAATAAATAGGAAAACATGTCTATCACAATTTTCCAAATCGCAAATTCCTGTAAGTTACATATTTAAAAACATTTATTTAACGAATATTTTTATAATAAATAATTGGGATACCAAAAAAAATTTTTTTTTTACCACTGTAAGACAATCTTCTTTTAGAAGATAAAACTTATTTTCTTTCTTCCCCCTAAAGGAATTATAAACATTAGGTAATTGTAGAGGTGATTTCTTCTATATGTTTAAATACTCATAGGTCACCTGGCCTGAGGCACAAGCTTTAGAGGACTGATTCTCAGCCTGATTAGTTAAGACTTTTGCCTCAGGGAAAACTAGTTACCAAAGAGCTACTTGTCCCTAAAGGGGTATAAATACTACAGTTGTGTGTATAACTGTCAGATCCATTGTTTCCATTCACACTCTAAAAGAAATGCAAAGGAAACTAACCCTAAAAAGAAAATGTTAGATGAGTCTATAAATAAGGAGTGATTTGTTCTCAAAAGAGAGAAATAATTTCAGCAATTGAAAGAAATTGTTACAAAGTTTACTAACTTTTAAGAAAACAACAAACAAAAAGCCAAAATCTGATGCCAAAGATGTAGGGAGACTAAATAAAGCTATCTTTACAGACACATTCTTCATGTGTAAAACAAAACTTGGGGCTCACTGATAGAAACCAACTAGAAAATATGTGCAGAATGACCAACACTTCTTTCAACATACTTCTAGGACTCTTTCAACACTATGGATTATCTTAAACCAGAGGAATGCTGGCTATGGTGTCTGGACCAATGCCAGCCCTTGTTATAAAGCAAAGAGCACTTCAAGAGAATATCTTGAATCCTTGCTTTGCAATCTGACAAACTGAGGTATTCAAATTAAAGAGTTAGGATGAGGACCAAGAGCGATAGCTAACATTTTAGAATATAGAATAATTCCAGACAATATATTTGAAGAAAGATTCAGAATGCCACAAAGCATCATTCTGGGGGGTTATCTTTAAGATATATTAACACCCATATTAGCTGGCCTTAGCCTAAAATCTCAAATACCTACTTTTTTCTTTAAAGGTACTCTTTTAGTGTAGAACAGCATTTTTTAACTGCAGATTGTGGCCCACTAGTGACTCATGAGCCAATTTAGTGGATGACAACCAGCATTGTTTTAAAAAGAAAAATGACTAGTCTAGCCTAACCTAAAATAGAAGATATCAGTCTGTTTCACACATACAAAAAGTGTTTTGTGAAATTTTTGTTTCACTGTGTCTGTCTGTCTGACCTGAGGCATAATGCAAATGTATTGCTTACTGTGGGTTTGACTGAAAACACGTTGAAGCCCATTGCAATACTGTCTACATTCCACACATTCTGAAGCAGAGAAGAGGAGCCTCTCTGCAGTCTCTCTTAAATCACTGGCACTACGAACTGCTGTAAAAACATTACTACTCTCCGAAGGGGGTATAGAGACGTCTCCAAGTGAGGGGTTGCCTCCACTAACTAACCCTAAACGCAGAATCACTGGAGTAGAGGAAGGGAAGGGAAGGGGACAAAAGAAATGAGAAAGAAGCAAATATTTTTCTTTCATTCCTATCTTCTACATACTCCTATAAGTTTGTTCTCCCACCCAAAAATTGGGTTTATTATTTTGTGAGTGAGGAAATATCGAGATGGTAGTAACTTGAGTATCAGTCAAATTCCAAAACATTTAAGGAATAGGAAAGAACAAAAAGGACCACCAGGCACAGATGAGAGCTATTACTGACATATAAAAAATGAGTGGACATTTGTTTGAAGTCAAGTGGTGTTTGTATTTCCCAGGGCCTGGACACTTGTTAAACATCTTACCTAATGAAGCCACAACTTGCTAATATTCTGACTCATGATCCTGAAGACTGTAAGTATTGAATCAACCTAGCGAAAATTTTCATATTAAGTAACTCTAAATATACATTTTAAAAACACTGTATACTTTGGAAAAGTAAAATACTAACTTATAATAAATAAACTGCTTAATGAGTCAATTTTTCCCTGTATAAACTGAGACATCATAATTCAAAAACAGAAACGAATACTCACCTCTGCCTTCGTTCATCATCCTTTAAAACTTCATAAATGGCCACCAACTAAAATAGAAGCATTACTTTAAAATAAAAATACTCTCAACTATAAGAAATCACTTAAGAAGGTGAACACGCCATAATGCACATGCAGAACACCCTATGTGCTCATAAGTAAAATGAACAGGTAAGACCTTAATTATATGTAACATTTTTTTGTTTTTAGTAGAACCTTCAAAGGTTAACAATGCTTGATACCAAAATAAATCTTTGTGAAAGATGCAAAAGTAATAATTATCTTAACATGTGCTTTTTAAAAGCAAAAGCTGTAATTTAGACAAGAAAATTATGACACTCCAAGAATTTGAGATTCTAAAATAAAAAATGCTGGTGAAAACATATTTTATAAAAACTGAATAAACATACATACATTGTATTTCTAAACAACATCCTCATTTTGAAATGGAATTATTCTACATATAAGTTACTACTTCTACCATAAACCTTAATAAATTTGTCACAAAACATAATAGCATATTTCACTTACTTGTCTAAACTGAGTTTCTGCATTTTCATCTTTATTCTTGTCTGGATGCAAAGTTAATGAAAGCTTACGATATGCTTTTCTAATGTCTGCAGATGAAGCATCCTGGAGGTGGTGGGGGGAGGTGAAAAACACACAAAGCAAACTTTGTCAGAAAAAGAAATTCCCAGAACCTTGTTAAGATCTGAGAAGACAGCCAACCAAGTGCAGGACCCCAGGCAATGTAATCTGAGCAATCAGTCAGGCTATGCAACTGGCCTGTCCCACATGACTGAACAATTATTCAATCTAATTTGGCTCTCATCTTAACTTTTCATTACCATACAATCATTTAAAGAAGACAGTATTTGGCAAAACTTTTCAAACACTTGCCTTCCTAAAATTAACTGATAAATCTTTTTCAGTAATTAAGAGATAAAAAAGAAACAACTTAAAAATTAATACATCTGAGTGCCTTCAAAGGTCTTTATTTGAGAATCTTAAAGCCAGTTTCTGAATTGAAGGTCTACTATATGTGGTTTCTTCATTGTTATGTATATTGAAAATGCCATCAAAAAACAACCTATGGAATATCAATTCATGTCAGAACTATGCCTATTTGAAGGCAGTTAAATATGCATTTATCCAAAATAATTATAATTAAAGTGTTATGTATATTGTACTTAACACTTTTGTTTTTAGTACTTTAAAGGGTGTTTTTAATGGTATCCAGTTTCTAGAATCTGGTTTGCAGAAATAAATTTGCCTACTATTTATGTATTACTAATATAGTTTAAATATATTTGAAAGGTCATGATAGTTCAGTAAGAGTACTTGGGATTAAGTGGATGTTAAAATTACATTTTATGTAATCTTGTGTGCACAGGTAAACTCAGAGAACATCACTTTACATGGCAATTACAAAATACAATAACAAACAATAATAAAGTAAAATAACAAAGAGCACTGCCAAGTTGGGATTAAAATTTTATTTCCACTAAGTTTAAAAGTTATCCCAATGACTAACATGTTCAGAGTGGGACAAATGATAATAAAGTCGCTTATTAAATTTTATCTCATTTTATAGCTGAATATTTGTCCAATTAATTCCTAAAACTACTAAAAAAGTTCAAATGACTGAAAAACCAAACCAAAACAAGAATCTGTATACCTAGGACTAAATAGGTGTTAAAAGAGAGTTGAAAAGAGGCAAAGTAAGATAATAATTAGTCTGTTAACCTTTTCTTTATAAACCATTACCAATATTCTGGAATTTATTGCTACAGACTATCAATCAACTTAAAAGTTTCAACTGAAGTGTGAATATTTCTGTAACTTGTAGACGGCTGAGGAGCTATAAAATTAACACCAAGTAAGTTTTGTGGATAGTATGGTTATAATTTTCACTCTAATTTGTTAAGTGGAATTTATGTATTCCCTATACCTAAAAAATAGGTGACATAGTGTAGAAAAGGATGATTATTTATTGAAAATTGGTGATAGAATTTTGTTGAGCAAAGAGGTTGTATCAAATAAATAATAATTTGGGACTTTAATTTTAGATTGTATTAAATTGTGACTACATCACACTGAGAAATTCCTAAAGTGTAGATTTCTTATAAAGTAAGACTTTTTATATATTTTCTTGTGTTACAAAATTAATACATGCTTATTTTGGAGCATCTATGAGTTACTTAAAAATAAAAATGACTAATAGCCACTTAAGGCAGTTCCCTTCTCCCAGTGTTGGCATGCTGAACCCAATCCTCCAATCTTTTCTTCCCACAATATGTACCCTAAATGTAAATGTGGCCAGATGGTTCTATTCTAAACCCTTCAATAACTCCCAAGTGCCTTCATCATTGTCTTTTCCAATAATTTAGCTTTATCTCCCACTACCTTGGCCCATCCTCCTAGTTGCCCAGATCATTACATTAGGTGACCGTTTTTCTAATGTATAATGATCTTTGGTTTTGCGCCCAGCTGTAGATATAGTTTTCTCCTGAATAAGGAATGAACCTTTCAGCTACACACCAATATTGCCTGCCTATTTTCCTCTTAAAAATTTGCCTTGTAGGGTTATTTCACCAATAAGCTCCACTTCTCAGTAGATAGAACTAAAAACCTCAGAGTTTTCCTTACAAAGGCATGCTCTACACAAGCAGTACCTCAAACTAGCTTATGTATTTAATTTTAGTTAATTACTTAGTGACTAGTAACTTATTTTATCTTTTCAACAAAGCTATGACATTAGGATAGTTGTTACCAGGCCCATTTTACTGGTGAGGTGAGGCAGAGAGAGGTTAAAGTAATTTGCTTAAGTTCATGCTGCTGGTAAATAGACAAAAATAGAATTAAACCCCAGAAAATGTTGCATCATATTCAGAGTTCTGTTGGCTCTTTGGGTTCAGTTAGTAGATCTCGGCTGTGTCACTTCACAAGGGGCAACAACTTTGGGAAGGCAATGAGAACAACATTTAAAAAAAATACAGTAAATACATAAACCAGTAACATAATCATTTATTATCATTATCAAGTATTCCCGATGGTACACAATTACATGTGCTCTACTTTTATACCACCAGCAGAGCAGTAGGCTTGTTTACATCAGCATCACCACAAATATGAGTAATGCATTGTGCTATGATGTTAGGACAACCATGACAACACTAGACAATAGGAATTTTTCAGCTCCTTTATAATCTTATGCGATTGCTGTTATATATGCAGTTCATTTGCCTTGTAGGGTTATTTCACCAATAAGCTCCACTTCTCAGTAGATAGAACTAAAAACCTCAGAGTTTTCCTTACAAAGGCATGCTCTACACAAGCAGTACCTCAAACTAGCTTATGTATTTAATTTTAGTTAATTACTTAGTGACTAGTAACTTATTTTATCTTTTCAACAAAGCTATGACATTAGGATAGTTGTTACCAGGCCCATTTTACTGGTGAGGTGAGGCAGAGAGAGGTTAAAGTAATTTGCCTCTTTAACCAAAATGTCATTATATGGTGCATAACTATATACACAGTATACTTGATATATCAAGTTCATGAGTTTTTTTGATACTGTGTTTCCCATTAATTCATCTATTTTTAAGTAGTAGCCAACGAGTAATTCTGCAGTTCACAAATATTAGAAACAAATACTGTGGAGAATTTTTTAAAATAAAAAAAAGGGTATTCAATAGGTAAGAGAACAACATTCTTATTGATCTGATAAACTATATGGAAAACATCCACATAACTACATTGTGAATACAGTCAATTGCATTTTTAAGGGTAAAGACCCTAATATGTTAGGGTTTCTAATACATTTTATATCATATTTCTACTAGAGAACTGAATGCTAGAACATACATCTCCTATACAGATCTTTTACCTCTCTGGCTTGCAGAGAAATAATTTTGAAAGGGTTATGGGTGGATTAGCCATCTCTGACACAGTAGATATCAGGAGATCTACTGGGTTCAATTGCCAGAATTCTTTTCCTTCTAAATTGGATAAGGTTTTTTGGCAAGTTGGACATGAATTATGTTAATACTTGGATGACCTCTGAAAAGAAAAGAAAAATAGTCATACTTATAAAACAAACAAACAAACAAAAAACAACCCCGCAAAACAAACAAACAAACAAAAAACAACTGTGAAAGGAATATGTTTTTAAAAATTGTAACAATGCAATGGGACAACAGCTAAAATGGAAGGGTAGGAAACTCCAAGGGCCTGTCACTGCACAGAAACAACAAATAATCTGGCAAAAACTGTCCAAATTAATCTTATCTGCACTCTGAAAATCAGTCAAAAGATTTACAACAATCAAGCAAGCGCTTGATCAAGAAAAAGGCAGTTGATTATCAGGTAGGGTCTTGAAGATGCCAATCTAGATTCTTGGTGTGGGTTCCCAGTGCTGGAGGAATCAAAGCAGACTTTGTTCTCAAAATTTGTGTTTGTTTGGCCTGTCACTGACTCCCTGACAAATTGTGTAAAAGGTTACCCATATATATATATTTTTTAAATATATTTTTATTGAGTTTTTACAGAGAGGAAAGGAGAGAGATAGAGAGTTAGAAACATCGATGAGAGAGAAACATCGACCAGCTGCCTCCTACACACTCCCCACTGGGGATGTGCCCGCAACCAAGGTACATGCCCTCGACTGGAATCGAACCTGGGACCCTCCAGTCCACAAGCCGACGCTCTATCCACTGAGCCAAACCGGTTTCGGCAGTTACCCATATTTTATCAAATATAGAACTCTTCCAGGGCAAAGAGGCAACCATTCATGACGTTTGTCAAAAACATTTAAGGGCAAATTTGTTAGCTGGTGCAATCAGGGTAAGGGATAGCAATTGGGATATACCATAGGCACATCAAAAAGCTTGAGAAAAAAGATTAGGGAGTAAGATGCTTTGGAAATACAGGCTTTTGAAAAGCTCCCACATAGTCCTTAAAAGCCATACGACCATGTGCATACCCAAGGAGGAGTACACACTCAGAAAGGGTGTTTAGGGTCTTCTGAAAAAACCCTAAATTCCCATACTGGCTGATAGTTAGGCTGTGCTCAAGCAGAAAATGAAGGCTAACGGAGAGCTGTAAGCTGCCTAGCTAAGGGTTAAATGCATGCCACAATATACAGGAACCCACTAGCAAAGACTGTGGATGAGTCTTTTCCAAACCTTTAAGGAAATCTCTGCTGAATCATTAGCTGGCCACTAAGCTAATGAAATGGAGACATCAGTGGCCATACATGGCAAAGAATATATACTTGACAAATTTAGTTTAGAAAAGCCACTAAACAAACACTGTCAACCAAAGAAACAAACAAACAAAAAAACCCTGGTGTAGTGGAAGAATCTAATTACCACATTATATATTCAAAATGCCCAGTATTTATTAAAAATTATAAAGCATTCATAGAAACAAGAAAGTCTGGTTCACACATGGGGAAAAAGAAATAGAAACTGCCCCGAGGAAGTTCAGACATTGGACTTACTAGACAAAATTATAAATCAACTATTTTAATATGCTCAAGAGCAAGTACAAAGAGCTAAAGAAAGTATGAAAATAACTTTTCACCAAATCTATATATATAAAAAGCCAGCAACAGGAACACTGGAATGACCAGCTGCTATGACGCCCACAGCGGCCAGCGAA